CTGTGTTTGTATAAATGACTCACATTAGCTCGGTACTTTACCTGCCGCATTTTGTTGTTACTCAAATGAAGGGGCGAAACTACACTTTCTCGCGGCAAAATTTTCACTCCTGAATTTTATTTGTCCTGGAAAACTTCTCCATTGATTACGCAAAGATATCAGCCAACTTTAAGACAGAAATTGCAGAAAGTAAAGCTGTTCGCGTCAATCTTGTAGCCTTGAAATCAATGGCGGATGCAGCAATTTGGCAACACCGGATTCCTTCCATTTAAACCTATGTTAAATAATCGATTCTTGTCGGAGCACCTGGCCCCTCCAAGGAATCGATACATTTCTATAGGTTTAAATGGAGAAAAAAAATGTTGCCAACATGCTGGATTCGTCAATCCTTGGAATGGTTGAGTTACGTTTTCTTGTTTGGGGAGCGACGATTGGCGACATTAAATCTTAATCTAGTTTGTCGTCATTTCACTAAATATTGGGAAACAGCAGATTCTACAATCTAGGAAAAGTTCGGAGGTTGTGTTGGACCGTGTTCGCAGGATAATGTAAATGTTCTATTCTGAGTTGATACTGGAATTGTCAGAGCTTGTGTTGCTGACAAAATCAACACAGAAGAACACAGAGTGCAATAATACAGCGTTTTTTTTTGCCATCATCTCTTTGAATCTATTCGTAATTAATTAACTGTGGCCTCGTATACTATAACCAAAGCTATTACATATCTTAAAATGGAAAACAAGTGTCAAGTGGTCATCATTCTCAAAACCAGAGCAATTTTTCGAGCATTTACCACGCCCTTTCCACCGACGGCGTAGTTTAAAAAAATTATATGCTTGGATTTTTTTCATGGCATTTTTCAATTTGAACCTTGTTTCTCGTTTTTTCCTAATTTGTTAGCCTTTCCGTCACTCCGCTTCTTTGTGGAATTTCCTTCTTAAATGTTGAGAAATATAACGCTGTGAAGTCAAAATCGTTTTTTCCTAATTTGTTAGCCTTTCCGTCACTCCGCTTCTTTGTGGAATTTCCTTCTTAAATGTTGAGAAATATAACGCTGTGAAGTCAAAATTATGCGTCTGTATTAAATACAAAAAAACTGAAAAGAACTCTTATGCTGAGAATTTTTACATAAAAAATCTCCCAAAAAAATCCCGTGGACAAAACCCGTTTATTCGTTCGCAAGTGCAGTGAATCCAAGTTCGCTCTCCAGAAAATGCAGGGAACGCTGAAAAATTGGGGGAAACGAGAAAAGAAGGTTGAAAACGAGGTGCAACGTGTGCGCCTGGAGGGATGATCGTGCGGAGGGGGTAGGGCTGCGTCGCGTCGTCGCCAGCTCCCCCTACTCCGAGAGGCCACAGCTAGGGGTTGAAAATTGAACCCGTTGTATCAGGATAGCAGCGGTGCACCGGCGGTGTTCCCCCGGTGTGGGGTAGGTCGTAAACACGCTCTCAATCTACGCTAGAAAACGCCTGCATCAGCCACTTAATTCCTGCATGGGTAGGTTTATGCAGGTTTAATATCAATTTAAGTATACGAGAGAACCGGACGGAGAAATGAGTTTACTTGAATGATATGTCTTGAAAACCACCCAACAAAGGAAAAATGAAAAATTCATTTTATAGCGGAGAGATTATTTTATTATATAATACTTTTTTATTATTATTTTAATTATTTTTAGGGTCCCATGTATTTGTTACTTCTCGCTGTGCCGCCGAATTTTTTCTTTTTCTTCATTATTCATTGAAAAGATAACTACGACTTTTGTTCGTTTCGAGAAGTACCCAACTCAAAGGTTGGGGAACGTTCACTTCTTACTCTAAAAGGATCAACAATTTTCATGTTTTCTGCTACGAGGTTTTTTTTCGGTAAGAAAGAAAATTCGCCAAATTCATTCTCTACTCGCAGACAGTTTTCGGCTAACTTCAGCTTTATCCGGTTTCCGGATTTTTTCCCCCAAAGTTGGGCCCTTTTCAAAAAAAAAAAAAAAAATATTAAATGCGTTTGAGGACAGTGACAGGGTTGATACCATTATGCAAAAACACCAACCGGTGATATGCTCGCTTATACCTGACTTCAATTTTACGTTCGAACTTGTAATGCTTCGTAGTTATTTTCTTATTCAAGTTTGGAAAAGTGAACGATTCTGGAATCATACTGATTTAAATTCCTAATTGCGTCAGATTGTGTGCTTTTTGACCACATAAATAATAGCTCATGTTTCAAAAGAGCTGATTTGGAGATGTTTGCTGGTATTCATAATCGAAAAACAATTTTGCCATGGGAACAATATCCGTACTGTATGTTTTTATATTAGTTATTTAATACATCCATATGAATAATCTTCAGTTAATATATTTATTTTACTCTTTGAATTTAGTAGTATTTAAATAAAAAAAAATTGGATGGAATATTTTTGGGGTTGGAGAGTCGAAAAAAGGGGGGAGCTGAGAGAGAGAGAAATGATTGCACTTTTTCTATATTTTACTCAACACTCCGCCATTGACCAATTGCATATTTGGATCGCATTTAGCAAAAAAGAACCAGTGCGACTACAGAGCTGTAAAAATGTTGCTTTTTCATAAGTATCCACAAAGTCTCTTAGAATAGCAAATAGTTTTTGCTTCCTACCAAAAATTGTTAATTTTAAAAGAAAATAACTGTGCAAATTTTAATACTGTACACATATTAAGTATTTTCGAAAGAAAAGAAGAAGTTGCACGATTTTGAAAACATTGTAATCACGCTGGCTCCTTTTTGCTCAATGTGATCCATTTGATCCTCAAAAAAAAATGCCGTGAATCACAGAGAAAAACATATCTTCCTAAGCATGAAGGTTCTGATGTGACGGTGATGAATTTTATCCCGGGACTCCAGTTTATTAAAAATTTAAAAAGGTACAATTTTATTATTTTGTCTCCTTTTTTTCTTTGATACTTGGAGGAAAAGTAGACCGCCATTATGTTCTTATCACTGCTTTCACACGGGATCTCAATATTCATTTTGTGCTTCTTATACTTACATATTTATTTTTTCTTCTGCATAGCATACGTACTCTTGAATGAAAAATGAAAACGAAATATCGATAATTTTTTTCTGTATGCCTCAAACGAAGATTTTTTGTAGATAGATACTGTAAAGTCTAAAGTTAGGCATAACATTCATTTCACGTTTTCAAAAAATGAAAAAGGAAGAAACATTAGAAAAGTATTTGCTTCATGATATCATTTATTCATTCTGCAAAAAAAAGCTAGTTTAGATTACAACTTACAACGAACATAACTTAAAATTTATTAGAAAAACAAGAGGAAAAAACTATAACAAAAAAAATCAGAGATCAACCTCTATTTTGTTGAAAAAAAAAACATGTTACAACTAGATAAAAGCTTTTAGACATACTCTGAGGCTAATCAATCACCGTCAAATTGTATTTTAATAAGTGCCTCCTATCTGACCTGACCCACAGGTACAGAAAATATTATAATGACAGCGTTTCATTGACAGTTATTGCTGCAAAAAGGCAGTGCCCTTTACATTCTGATTAAAAGATGTTTTAAGAAAACTCTACCACAGTCCCAGGCATCATAGCTCTAATGAACTTTGCCTTAATTCGAATTTCTCTGTAAATCATGCCTTACGAGTGATGGGTTGACTCATTTCATGAACAATGCACAGTGACGATTTCAGGAGGAGGGGGTCCAGATCCGCCTATGACCCGAGTATTTTCTCCAAGAAAGGTCATTTTCCGCGACTTTTAGGAACATTTCAACTATACATGCAAATGTGAAAAATGTCGCCATGCTGCTTCGCAGCTATGCGAGGCAGGGAATACTTTGATTTAGAAAAACCTGGAGGCAGAAATGAAATTACTCCAACGTGTCTCAAAAAACCATTTTTCTTTTTTTTATGTTCATTCATTTTTCCAGTGACAAGTTATTGCAAACCTTTTAAAAATTCGTTTAAATAGGTTAATTTTGAACTTTGCTTGAATGTCAAAATCGTCGCTTTACCGACAATGTTTCAGGAGGCTCCTTAAATGTCACTTAATCAAAATGTAAATTATGTGCGTCTCCCTAAAGAAGAACGCTAATGGACTACGATGGCTATGGCTGCCCGCTGAAACAAATTATTAACCTCGCCCGAAACTTGTGCTTATACGGAGACAAGAAACCCTTCACTGCTAATTTGGCGATGGTGGAAGCTTTTATTTTCGGGATTCCAGCATTCATCTGTTGACCTACTGTCTGCCGCGCTAAGGAAAAATGCTGTATGAACCTTGCCAAAGTTTTCCTGGCAAATCACTAATTCTCGGGAAAATGTTTAAATATTTGTCTATACCAATTTCTCAAATAACTTGGTTTGTAATTTGATCTAAAACGTCTGAAAATTTCAAGGGAAAATATCCATAATTTTCCACAAAAATAAACATTTTACCGAGGGAAATTTGACAACTCTCGAATGTTCTTTCCTAGCACGGCAGCTTACTTTGAAAAACATGCGGGGTATTTCGTTTCGCAAACCCACCGAAGTTTGGCAAACTTGTTTGGCTCATTATCAGAGACCTATATGTTAAAAATTTCTTATTTAATCAGTTCATCGTTCAACACCGCAATGGGCCGCCTTTGCGTTTGCGTTCTTGATATGGAACCCGAACGGAATAGGCTCCTAATGAGTTTGGGTTTTCGATCGTGAACCGTTCGCGGAAAGGTCTCGGTCGGGTTCTCGATCCCGAACGCATTGTCAATCGAATCGGTTCGAAATTCGGAACTCGAACTAATAAGCGGCCGACTGCGTTCGAGTTCAAATAACTCATACCAAAGACCTGACCATTGCGATCAGTTCAGCTATGCTAATGCCATAACTCATAACGCCGATTTTCGTTATGCGTTACAGATCTAGAACCTCGCTCAGCTCCGTAGCGTTCAGAGTTCTTCTATGCCGTGCGGCCGTTGATGTTCTGCATCGCCCCCCCCCCCCNCGTCAAGAGGCCATCGGAAGGTCTCTTGTCTCTTTGCCTTCACTTTGGAACTTCCCCTCAATCCTGGTATGCGCACGATGAGTTCTCATCGGTGGAGACCGAATCCGCCACATTCCTATCATCTTGCCCATCACTCTTTGCGTAAGGGCTGTTCCTGTGCCCAACACCGCTGTACAAAGATGGGTAATAACAGTAGCTGGACGGAAAAGGCAGTAGCCCCGGTCCGAAATAACTGGAAAGAGCATCCTCCTTGGTCTTGGGCGGCCCGAAGCGATCCCGTTTCTGTTTCGCGAAGTGAAGGCTGTTGAGGTGCAACATGAGATCGCTGGGAGCCTCTGCGTCAAGATCGTAGTCCAGGAGACCTTCGGGGCCTAAAGGAACCGGTTGGTCATTCCGAACCAGGATTTTCACAGCGACTTTCTTCCCGTTTGAGTTGGAGCTAGCAGTGGTTAGATTCGAGTTTTCCAACTGTTGCAGCTGTTTCCGCTTGGTTTTGTAACGCCGATTTTGGAACCAGATTTTCACCTGCAACAATCAGTGAATTCAATTAATTACTTTCGTAGTTGTTAGTGTGTTGAGTCTCAAGTTAATTAGGGGCCGCTCGTAAAATACGTAACGCTCCAAGGAGAAAAGACTGGGAGGGTGACGAGAGTCTTGGCCAGTGGCGTGGCGTGAATTACGATATATCGATTGTTATGCCATTTTAACCTATGGAAAAGGATCGATAAATAGGGTGTTCGCAGCGAACAGGATAAAATGGCATAACAATCGATATATCGCAATTCACGCAACGCCACTGGCCAAGACTCTCGCCACCGGCAAATCTATAGGGGGCGGCAAATTTTGCAATTTTTTTTAAATGGAGGTATATAAAAAAATCGGATTTAGAAAAAAAAAATTACTAACGAGAAAAGGCGACAAAATCTCTCATTCCCTGAGAGAATAGTGATTTCTAATTTTGTCGTCTTTCAATGATACAAGAGACAGCACCTTCAATTAGTCGAGTTAAGAGAGAAACCAAACACGCAATTTGGCCTGGAAAGGCGCGACTGAGAGAGAAATGATGAGGAGGACTTCAGATGAAAAGGAGAAACCCTCGGCGTGGCGATCGGCATTTAACATATATTAGCGCCCACAAGACTGCACGAATACTTCACGAATTGCCTCAAACACAGAGCGGTCATTGCGATCAGCGTGAAACGCATAGCGCCTACAAGACTGCGTGAATACTTCAAGCATTGCGTCAAACACAGTGCGTTCAGCAGCGGTCGGCGTGAAACTCATAGCGCCTACAAGACTGCGTGAATACTTCACGCATTGCGCCTAACACGGTGCGGTCTGCGCGGCGCGGCGGCGGAAGTTAAAATCATTAATCCACATTTATGTTTGTTCTTTCATAATTTTTCGTTCATTTCTTATGAATGGAAGGCCTTGTCCACCCAGAGATAGGTTTACGAAACTTAACTTTCCCGCGAAGTTCCATGAACATTTGCTAGTAATGTTGCCAGGGCTTTCTCCAAAAATGTGTTCAACGCGATTAAACGCGTCTCATGCACCCTTCCCCCGCTGGCACGTTCAATAGATGGTTTTTATTGATATTTCAAAACGAATGAGAAGGGGGCGGCAAGATACAGGCGGCCAATGGGCGGTAAGTAGGTAAATCCGGCCCTGAAGTAGTTTCCCGTTTAAAAAATGAAGTATGACAGGAAGTCTGCGACGTCGCAAACCGAGTTATGTGATTGCCGACTTACACCGTCGAATAGTCTTTTCTTTCACGGAGTTACAGATTTATCAATAATTCATACTCAGAATGATTTGCAACTTTCATGAGGTTCCTCAGGACACATAAGCGCTTAAACAGGTAAGTCCAATACTTTATTTTCTTACCTGCGTCTCCGTCAGTTTAAGAGAGTGTGCCAAGTCTGCTCTTTCGGGGCCGGAGAGGTATTTCTGTTGGTTGAAGCGTTTCTCGAGCTCGTAAACCTGCGAATGGGAGAAAGCAGCCCGTGACCGTTTTTTCCGGTGACTGGCGCTGTCCAGTAGAGGTCCCGATTTACTAATCTCCTCAGGATGGGCTTGTGGAGCGTACTTGGCCGAAAATAGCGGAGCAGTTGAATAGAGGCTCTTTGGGGACTTATGATGATACTGCATGAAGTACTCTGGATGCCGGATGAAAAATAGACTTGAGGACTGGAATACGTCACCTTTCAGCCGACTTCGGTGCTGCGAAAATTTTTCTGTAACATTTAAGAAATGCGAAAAATTAATACTTTCGTAGGTTCAATCAGTCTAATATGCACGATTAAACTTTTCTTCTCATTAAATTATAATAAAGTTAAGTCGATTGACGTTTTTGCGTAGCTCTAAATTGGACCGCGTTAGGCAGAAAGGAACCAAGCCGCATCTGCAAATGTCAAATTTTATTGGGAACTTTAATTTAATTAGTGGAAACAGTTGTGTGAATTTGTTTCTACAATCAGTGGATATTCTGCATACTACGAAGCAAATTCCTTAACATTTTTAAATAAAATTCGCACAAATGTTCTCTTGTAAAGAAATAAATCGCTCGGTTTGGCAATGGCTGATGTGGCTTGGTTCCTTTCCGCTAAACGCGATTTATTTTGGGGTTGCAAAATGGACCCTTGCATTGAAGTTCACATTCACGTCCAAAATTGAATCTCATGTCCGGTGTTAGACACGGCTACCTAATTTTCTCATACATCTAGAATCTCTGTTAGCTCATTGAGAACTGGCATAACTCAATCATAGAGAAAAAATAGGATGTGTTTGCATTTCGGGCATCTTGGATTTTTCTGATGACGTAGGTCGGTACGGGCGATTTTTATCGACAATTTTCTATAAAATGGTGTAGTTTATGGAACAGAGTCATTCTGTATAAAGTGTTTGAAACTATATCATGAGTTGACTTAAGCAATAAAATTGGACGTTATGATGGTCCTTTCTTCATACTTCGAATTTCGGATTTTGCTGAGATATCGACGCCATGTTGATCCGACCTATACGTCACGGGGTGAACAATCCTCAAGATGCAAACATCTCCTTTTTTTATTCTATGTAACTCTATTTTCCAAAAATGTTAGTTATAGATAGAACTCTTTCGCTCGCAGCAAATGATATTATTCGGGATTCCGTGGGTTTACTGTATCTTTGAGTATGAAACCACAGACCTAGCATAGATTCTCTCGTAACGGAGTTAAATGAGAGCAGAAGTATTGAACCACTGCAACCGAAATAGGTGTTCTCTCAAATTTACCATCGATCTTGCAGCTGTCGATTCCGTTGTAGCTTGTAGCACTCACGGTCGCTCCTCATCCGACGCACGATGGAACAAGTCTTTCCAAGAAGTCGAACATGACATTTTTGTCCAAAATCGTAAAATTTTACATTTATCCCGTCACAATTTAAATTTCAAGGGGTGTTTTTCCTAGATAATTTCACGAGAAAACCAATGAAATTACTTTCGAAACATCAACATTTCTTATCAATGAAGATATACGCTTTTAAAGTTTTTAAATCATGTCCGACCTCTCCCATCGAATCGATCCACTGTGCGACGGTCGGTCGAGGACGGTGTCACCAGGTACGCGCGCGATTTAAACAAACGGAAAAATAATAAAAAAAGAAGAAGAAGAAGAAGAAGAAGGGTTGACGGGGGTGAGGACGACATCACTCTGGGCATCCACAATTACTAAAAGTGCTCGGCAATCAATCAAAAGTGAGCGGTTAACGGTGAATAGAGTATCGGGCTAAGAGACTGGCACCTTCGCGACAAAGCTCGCCCCATTGTTTGATGCCCCGCGATCGGTATGCCACACTACCGGCGCGGAATCTAATGTGACGAGAGATGTGCCAGTCCGTGAGGTAATATCATCCATAACGAATGTAAAATTAGCGGGTTGTTGGCTTTCATCGGCAAGCCTGTCTGACGAGCAAATCTTTAGACGCTGCTTTTACTGTTGTACTCGCTTCCTAAATCGATATCGAGTGACCCAGTGGCGTGGCGTGCTTTGCGATATATCGATTGATCTGTCATTTAAACCTATGGTAAAGGATCGATTGACAGGCGAACACCTTAATGATATATTCTTTACCGTAGCTTCGAATGGAGAAATTTCGATAAGCGATCATTCACGCCTCGCCAATGGAGTGACCTTGATCGATATAAAGCATTGCTAAGATAAGAATTTATCGATCAGGATCATTGTCGATTCAAAAATCGATCCGCCGGTTGTCACGTTACCCTCGGGTACCTTTCAGCGCGTCCTTAATACGATTAATACTTCTTTTATGGAGCAATTGAACGGGGAGTGAACAGGGGCTTACCGGAGCTACTGTTTCATATTTTACTATCATGCCTGTTTTGTGACGTTTTCAACGGTAGGATGAGGTGGGGCTGGCATTGGCGCGAAAGAAAAACGTGCCGTGATTATCATCTCCTAGACGGTCGCTGCCTTGTTGTAAATGAGACGACCCACCTCATGAATTTTGGGAGAAGGCGCAACTATTATTGTTTTGCGGGTCAGCTTGCAAGTTCAAGCGATTTTGTAGTAGAGAAACATTGTAGGCAAAAACGGTCCGAGATTGGGATTTACAATATTGTTTTCTGTCCTCGCTAGGTAGTGAAGATTTAGTTTTAACTGAGGAAAATCAATTTTCGGGAGAGTTGAGGAGAAAATACCTACACTCTAAAAGCTATCTGTATAATTCAATGTTGTCGATCCCATTCTCAGCATTTTGAACTTCGAATCAGCTGTTTAATGGTCGAATCCATCCGATTTTTGGTAGAGGTAAAAGTAATTTGAACGCTGATAGAATAAATCAGAAATTACTCATTGCGATTACTCTGCGGTTGACGCTAAAATCAGTCCATGACACGCTGAACCCATCTTTTTTATTTCCTTGGGTGGTCCATCATCATCATCACTTTGAAGAACACAGTGTGGGGAAGAAACAGTGTTCGAGTGAATAGTCTGCTAAAGCCGTTGTAGTGCGCGATTTGACGCGTGTAGGGTTTTGTTTTTCTTGAGACCAGGCAATGCAATGTTCCCGTAACCAATGGACATTAAAAACGTTAATGCCTTAGCTACAAGTTGATTTCAGTAGTTTTCGTTGCGCGAATCGTGTTCTACGTAAAATTCTAGTGAAGAAGCATGTATCAGAGTGTCTAAATTCGTACCTTCTTTAATGGTATACATTCAATCTGAGAAAGGGACACAGAGAACAGAACTTTCCTAACTTTTCTCAGAAAAAATATTTTATCGGGAAAAATGAGGCAACATTGGAACGCTCACACGGCACGGCGTCGAAACACAACATGTGCCTTTTAAGCCCCATTGGTTGATGCCGCGATTATTCTAACGCGAGTTCGAATAATCGCGCCAAACATAGTGCGGCCGACGTTCAACACATTTCAACGCCTGCAAGACTGTAGGAATACTTCTCGCATTGCGCCAAACAGTGCGGTCGGCGCGAAACGCATCAGCGCCTACAAGACTGCATGAATACTTCTCGCATTGCACCAGACGCAATGCGGGAGATATTTACGGTAACTAGTCGACTACGGGTACAGCCACATTGCCGCTAGCTGGATTGAAGGCGCATCACACTGCGAAGATGACTCGACACTCGACCCCCCCCCCCCCTAGCTTGCACGATGCTAAAATCGCCGCAAAACTATTCTTGAAGAAAATATGACAAAATAACCGAGTCTGCTAAAATACATGTGTTTAAATGGAAAGTGCCGTCAGATGACGTCACTAGGCGGCAAATTTTCTCACTTTTAAATCTAATTCCCTCCGGTTTCCCATGTCAGAAAAAAATTATGAAAAATACTGCAAACTCAGATCATTTGGCACTCTCAGATGAAGCAACACAATTTGTGTGTGCAAGTTCTCCATTGGTGAAAATGTAATCTACAGTCCCGTTTGTGACACTGTGAAGGCCTAAAATACGGGAACCAACACTGAAAAAAAATTCTCGGCGTTTTTACGTAGGTCCGTTGGTACCTTTACCATTTCACTCTTTTTACCAATTATTGGTAATTTTACCAAGACAGACTGGTAAGCTTAACTAAAACCCGGTATTTTTACTGGTTTTTTTTCAGGTAAGAATACCACTTTTATTGGTAATCAATCCCCGGTAACTTTGCCATTTTATCTCGGTAACTCTACCACAGTCGATAAAAAATATTGGCGTTTTTACCAAGGTCCAGTAAAATTACCGAAAAAGTTCAATAATTTTACCAATATTTCTCGATAAAATTACCGATTCTATAAATGGTAATTTTACCAAGAAAAAACTGGAATCAAATAGAACCCTGAATTCTTGGTAATTTTACCCTTTCCTTAGTAAATACACCGAGATTTTTTTTTTCAGTGTGGATTCGCACGTCTTACATCTCATTATAAAGGGACTCTAGTTCTGTATACGACGCGCAGAAACAAGTGCAGGGGGCGCACGCGACACGCACACGTATGAGATGAGTCGTGGGAGGGAGGATTCTCGTAAAAGTGGTTTTATTATGATTACTTGTTAGCTGCCTTAATTCAAGTCTATTTACACGCTTTTACAGCGGGACTCGGATTAGGCGAACGGGAGCGCGAGCGGAGGGCCCGGCCCGGGCCGCGGTCCATGCGACTGATTTTATTAGAATGTAAACATCATCACCGGCGTGTTATCATAATTAGCGGTGAAGTCTTGAGTCTGACACTTGAACCCCGGCCAGATCGCTTCTTCCGTGCCTCCGCAGACGTTTTGGCTTTCCAGAATCCTAGTGCACCCCCTTCCGCCCTCTCCGCCTTTTTTTGCGGTTCCAATCGATGGAACGGACAGCGATGTCGGATTCACCGCTACTTTTACTGGTCCATACAACGATCTAGAAGCTTTAGGCCCTGTTCACACGAGCGCAGTTCGCGGAACGTATTCCTCGAACTGCTCAGTTCCCGGAACTTATTCCTTAAAACGAGGCATGATGTCCACACGAGTTCGCCCGAACTGGAACCGGAACTTCAATAAAACTATACAATTATTGCAAAATAATAGATTATTACGGCTGCCAAAGTAACAAAAATAAATGTCAAGACATGTAAAGGACGTAAAAAACAAAAACAAACAAATTCACATCAAAAGAAACTCATGTAAAAGCTCGGAGTACGGGGAAGTTCCGGGTTTTGGAGGAATAAGTTTTAGCTCAGCTGAAAACTTGTTCCGGGAACAA